ACTTCATATGATTCATTTTCCATGCATTTATTTCCTTAAAAGTGCACTACTACTGTTTTAGCTTTAATGAGCTGAAATTTAAGTAATTTTCGAGGGCTTTTACAGCTGAACATCAGAATTTTTACTATAAGACTTGAATTCAAAGTACATTAGCATATATACAGCTTGAAAAATATAAGCATTCTCCCCCAAAAGAGTCACAAGAGACATTACTGCAAGAGTAACTTTTAAATTTATTTTGTGGATGGTTAGGTAGTTAAATATTTCCTTCCTTACAAATGAGTTTTGAACCCACGTCAGAGCTTTTCAGGATCAGTATTGCTTGTATTCTATGCGCTTATTGCAATGCTTTAAAGAAGAAACATTTCAGATAAAATATTTACTAACTCTAGAGAACAAAAGCCACATCTTCTGGTACTGTTAAGTCCTGCAATTTCACACCTAGCCTGCACAGTCAAAACTTGACTGCCAGAAGCACTGCCAGCAGTAACACCCCTTTTATTTCAGGCTCCATAGAGAGCTCTTTTTTCCCCAAACTCACTCCAAGAAATAGTAAGAAAGGTCACAACTTGCTGTATACAAGATTCCAACCAGTTACTATACTCGGCAACTAAACAGCCATGAGACAGAAAAAGCACTTGATCACTATGAATACAAGCAACACACTAGCAAGAATTCATTCAGGAAGCAATAGCTTCTGGTCAATGCTGCCTTCTACTTTAAAGATCTGTGAGGTGCAAAAGTTCTCTCTCCAAAATGTTTTTAGAATGAATCAAAGCCCAAGAATTGCAGTAGACTTTGAGCATCTCTGCAGACATATTAAGACTAAGACTTACCACCACAAGCCACTTCTGTGATGCCCACTAAGTTCAATCAGAACATTATTTTGAAGAAACTTAGGAGCTCTACTATTTGTCCCATCTATGTAAGAATATACCTTTGCCCAGAACTTTGAAGGTAGTAACCCTTCCCTGTATCTCTGAAATTCAGCTGAAATATTGGAAAATAAAACTACTACAATGTTTGTAGAGCAGCTCAGCAATAAACAGATGTGACCAATCACAGGCATACATTTAAATCAAAACTATCTACAGAATATGTACTCCATGTTTTCTTTTACTCTATCACTTACATTCACACTCTTCCTGATTCCTGATTCCACATTTAGGACTACATACTAGGAAAACAAAATATTACTATATACTCCATAGAAAGCAATAACTCTTGTCTCTTATTTTTATATTTCCTTTTCCAAGTACTTTTCATTTCAACTATAAAGAGCCTTGCTAAACAGGATTGGACACATGTAAAAATAAAGATTACATATACATCATTTTGACAGGACAACCCACAACATCCTTAAGGAACAGAGCTGTCTGTAAACACAAGCAAGAAAAATATTTACTTGAGCTTTCCATAAATTTGATACTGCATCTTCAAAATATCTTGCCTTACTCTGATCTCTAAAATTTATCTGTCAACACTTACTATCACAGGCAGTCAGAAAAAGAGAACTATAGGCAGTAAGTTCACATTCTTTCTCTTAAATATAGCGTTAAGTTTCTCAAAGTAAAATGTCACATTTATGACACTTGTCATATCCAAACTATATAACTTAACTCTGAGTACATGCCAAAGCACCACAAGCTTTCATTCTACTTTGAAGAATCCTTTCAATAACAAGGGGAACAGCTACTTAACTGAAATCACATCTTGAGCTTGCTTTCACGAACAAAAACTTCAATATGACCTGCCACTCTCAATGCCTTTCATTTCTCTGATTTTGGATTTAGGTTAGCCCAGAGACAGCAGCAGTGTTAGAAGCAGTCACCACAGCAGAACCATACCAGGAACTATCCTAATGCCTCAACTCATTCACAGATTGAAGATACAGCATGAAGAGGTTCTGTTAGCAAGGGCACAAGAACCTTCTCCAGTGCTGCCTAAGACTTGAGAAATCAAGCATTTAGCCACAAGAGAGAGATTAATACTGGAAAGATACTATGTTGTGGGAGAGTGATCAGCAGCTGACTGTGATAGACAGGCGGGGATTTGGTTATCTCCCTACTGCCCTAAAAAATAGAACTGCCCTCCCCACAGGACAGACATATTACCCAGGCTCCTAATGCAGCCTGAAAAGGTGTATTTCCTTGCCATCAGGATCATCTGCCCTTGAAAGAAAGCAAACTTTATTGACATATTCAAAAGGTATCACTTATCACTACATATAGAAAAGGTCCACTTCCTGGCACAATCTGAGCTGCTTGCCTCTCACTCCTGTCCTACAAAGAAGGAAAAGGGACATTAGCCAGTTTTGTACTTTGCATAGCCTGGAAGGGCCCAGAGATACCATCCTTCAGCATGGACACAGCTCAAAAGACATGGGAACAAAAATAAAGTAGACATAAAGACTATCTTGAATCCACTCCAGATTCAACACCAAGTTTTAAAGCATTGCTTTGCCATACTACTTTACTTCACTCTACCTTTTCAATAGGAAACTTATTAAGTGATTATGTTAAAAACAAACCGCATCAGGCTTCAGTTTCTCCAGCAATGATCAGCATTGATAACGATACTGACAGGATCACTTCTACAGCAGAAGAACATCCCCTGATGTTACCTTTTACTTCCCTTTTCCTGCTTCTTCCCTAAATAGGCAGACCATTTTGATGCACACTAACATTAACCTGTTTTCTTTTGACTGCTCTGCCTTCTCAGCAACATGCTAACTAGCATCAATGAGCTCGGCATCAAAACCAATGCTGACAGAAACAAACAAACTCAAATGTATTTCCCAAGATACAACAACAATTAGGGGAGAAACTGACGCAATTATCTTGAAAAGCTTAGTTTTGATGTCATCCCTGAAATGATCAAAAACTTAAACTTACTTGTTTTGAAGTCACACTGAACGCTCACGAGCAGGCCCATAAAAGGGATTCAGATCCAACTCGCATCACACAGATACCTCTTCCTTCCCTTCCCTTCTCCCTTCCTCACCCTTTTAAAGGGGTGAAAATACTGCACATTTCAATGCATTCCACTCCTTAAATGAAAAGGTAATTATCCCCACCCCCACCTTAAGAATTTAAATCCTGCATCAGCAATGATCTTACCTAGAAGAAACTTGAAGCAACTCCTACAGCAAAGGGTGGCACACATGGAAAGAAATGTGCACTGAAAGAAATGACCCAATTTGATAAAAAAAAATGTGAACCCTTTTATACTGAAAAGCTTAACACAGTGCTTATACCTGAAAAACGATTGGTTAAAAACAAACAACTTTCCCCCCAAACACACTCATTTTTTCTTGCAGTCAGAACATGATTCCACTCACATCTTGTATTTTGAATAAGCTCATCTTAAATAGCCATAAGGTTTCCCCACTCTAGTGGGACAAAAAAGGAATTCAGCAAAAGTAATGGTCTTCACAAGAATAAGCAGCTGTTTACTCTGCATGCAATAAAACAGAACCTGAAGGAAATCTTTTCAGTTTTGTACCTCAAACTGGATGTATTGTTCAGACAGCACTCTGAGGTTTTTGTTTTACAGTGTAAGTCAACAAAACACTCAAAGCCATAGTCCTGTTTAACAATAATGTTCTCACTACATACCTTTCATTATCCTACACTATTGGAACTAACAAATATTCAGAGAGAAAGAAAAAATACACATTTTACTATCAGGCTTTGTACAAATGTACAACAAAACATAAGACTGCATAGAAGGGCATGCTCTTTTTACATATATTTATTTCATGTATGCAGAGGCTGCCCCTTTTCTTTCACCCACCAGCTGTGTAGATATTATGGTTAAGAGTCCCTGGTGCCCAGAGACAATTGTTAAGCCCAGTGACTGCCACACGTGCACCTCCCAGAACCCAGCACCTGCACAAGCTATTGAACTTCTAACACACACTTACTTGACTCAGAGGCTTGGAGAAAGGCCCGAGCCAAATTTCTCCATCAGGATCGGTACAGACCTATAGAGTTTCTGCCTCAAAAAGCTTACAACCTAGCTAATACATTTTTTATTTTATTGCTAGACAAATTCAGGAGACAGGGAATGCTTGGTGTGCCTCAAGTTTCAGACTGATTAATGCGAGAAAACCCTTCACAAGTCATACACCTGAAAATTACGGAAATATGACAACATAAAGTGAAGCAAAAGCAATACAACACCACTGCCGACTCCTAACAACCTCACACCTGAGTGTTATATATTCCGACTTCTACAGTCCAGTCAGCCTCAGCACTCACACCAATAGCCGGCTGAGGTTAGACGTTCTCTATTCTAACAGTTTTCCACAGCAAACTACGGAGAAAGGCGGCGATCCCCCCAGGCTTAGGGAAGGGCCTGCGAGAGCAGCAGCACAGGTGAGCACCGGCGCCGCCCCAGCCGCACGCCAAGGCACGAACCCCGCGGCCGCCGGCAGCGACACCGCCACGAGATGCTGTGGGTGAGGGAAGATGCCCGGGGAAGGAGGGACATTTCTCCGTGCAGACACCAGCCGAGAAGGGCAGCGGGGGCAGGGGCAGGCAGCCTCCCCCGGCTCCCACGCTACTCCCTCCCCGTCTCAGCGCCGCAGGAAGCGAGCCGGGTTTGCACGGAGGGAAGGGGGGATTCTTTCCAGGGAGACGGACCCAAGAAGCGACACCACATCCCCCGCGAAGTTGGAAGCTTCTGGAAGTTGTGTACTTGGTTACGAGCGCGCACGGCCACCGCCACCTCCCGCCCCCGGTTACCGCCGGGCCCGGCCCCCGCCCCTCGCCCCCCCGCAGCCGCCGGGAGCCGCCGCGGCCCAGCCGAGCCCCGGGGACAGCCGCCAGCATCACCTTCATGCCGCGTCTCCCGGAGCACCGCCCGGCGGGGATGGAGGGAGGGCGGGCGGCCGGCGGCTGCGTGCCCGTCTCCCCCGGCGCTGGGGCTCCGGCTCCTCCTGCCCGATGTAAACACACACCGGCGGGCGGGGGGAGGCCGGGCCGGGGGGCAGCGCCATGGCAACCCGGCCGGAAGAGGAAGCGCGGGGGTCAGGGGCGCCATGTTGGCGGGGGCTGGCGGGGATGCGCGGGGCTCCGCGCAGCCCGCACCGAGACACCCCGCCAGGCAACGCCGCTCCCGGCGTGCCAGCTGGAGTGCTTCACCTGCGGGGCGTGCTGGCCTCTTCCAATTTCCAGTGTAAACTGCTGGGAATGCAGCGAAGGGAGATGAATTGACTCAGCCTTAAGTCAAACGTGGAAGCAGTGTTGGTTTGGCCAAGATGAGGAGCCAGTTCTCCGAGCTCTGCCCTCGCTGCAGGCTTGCTGGCATTCACAGAATCAAATAGAATCCATTAGGTTGGAAAAGATCTATGAGAGCACTGAGTCGAACCTAAGCACCCCCATGTCAGCTAGAGCATGACACTAAATGCCGCATCCCATCTTAAGTCCAAGGATGGTGACTCCACCATATTCCCTGGTCAATCTACTCCGGTGTCTAAACACCCTTTTTGTGAAGAAATTCCTCTTAATGTCCAACCTAAACCTCTCCTGGTGCAGCTTGAAACTATGTCCTCTCATCTTGTTACCTGGAAGAAGGGACCAACCCCCAGCTGGCAACAACCCCTGGTCAGGGAATTGTAGAGAAAGGTCGCCCTGAGCCTCCTTTTCTCCAGGCGAAACTTCCCCTTGTCCCTCAGCCTCTCCCCCAGACCCCTCACCAGCAGGACAAGGGTCCCAGTCACAAGCTGGGTGCCCGGGAGGGTGTGGGGCTTCCGAGCCTCTCCTCCCACTATGCTCAGCCAGCGGAGCCTGGCTCCAGCCCGCAGGATGGGGGCTGCACCCATGCTGCTGCTTCACGCAAGGGAGTACAGACTGGTGGCAAAGAGAAAAGAATCTGGACATAATCTTTGGCATCGAAAGGGTTTTTTTTCTCATATATTGCTTTAAAACTATCGCTGAGCACAACCATACACATGGGTAGAAGCATGTTCAGCTCAGTGGATGGTTTGGTGCAATGAGGGAAGCCAGACAAAGAAAACAAAAAGAAGAGTGGTGGAAAAAAAAGAAGTAGTAGTAGTAATGTAATGATTACTGAAATAGGAAGAGAAAACAACATTAAGTGAATGACAGTAATTAAGAGTTCATTTTTCTCTGATATAATATTATTCTACATATGAGGATGAGTTCATATGTAGAGAACATAACTTACTCAACAAGTGGTTGAATCCAAAAGAGAAAAAACTGCTTTTGTTCCATTTTTAACATCTTGACTAAGAAATGTTGCAATTTCTTCTCTGAAGAAGTACCCTAGCCACCATATGTGTCTTTTAAGGCATTCTGGAATACAGTGGACCCTATTCAGAAAGAAACCATAAAAAGAACAATTACATCGCTTAAAGCCTAGGAATACCTTCTCTCAGTGCACACTTAATTTTTTGTTTGTCCCATACTGTCATTCTTAATTGCAAAACCTCCTTGGAGTGATACCATAAGACTGGTTTCCATTTTTCAGTTAAAAAAGGAACTCTTGAAAGACACTAAACAAAGTAATTCCCTCACCTCACATGGGCTGACAATTAAAAAGATTCATTTCCTGTGCTTTTCACAACACATCCACACCTTACATAATTATCTGCATCACTTCTTAAAGGAAGTATTCTGCACCCCTTTCCTGGCACAGACTCTCATAGCAGAATTTATAATTTCTTATGTAAATATAAAGATACTTCACAAGCATGTGAATCTTCTCAGAAGAGCTGTGGTGGAAGCCAGTGAATTCAGTGAAGGTTTCAAATACCACACTAAATTCTGCACATATGTTTTTGTGCATCTATATTAGATATATAAAACTAACTGTAATAATATAACCAAAATATAAGTCCTTCCTTCAAAATAAATAAAATTTATATCAAATAATCTTGTCAATAGTATCAATAGAATTACATTAAAATTTTAATTGTATAATGCAAATCCATATTTTGGTGGGTAGAAAGAAGATTATATAAAATTTGTGTTGAGTTTAACATGTAAATTATAGCCTGATTAACAATAAAACAATATTTACTAAAGTATAAAGGGTTAAAGAGAAAAATATCTTCCCCCTCATCTAGGTTAAATGATCAATTCTAGTGAAGTTCAAAATGCAACTTTTTCCATTTAAAATAATAGTGAATTTCAGATGAACATGAATTTTTTCTCAGCAAGTTCCTAAGCCTATAAAATAAAACAGATTGAAGTGCAGTCTTTTAAATAAGTTAACTTTAGGGTTTTAATGTTTGCAATGTCTGCAGAACATTTAAAAAATGGTCCAACTGAAAAATCAGACTATTCTGCATGAGTGACAAATAGTGGATGGGGGGGGGGGGCAAAGAATGAGAAAGCAATTTGTTTACTTTGTGCTAAGCACAGAAATAACTTTATTCTTTAAACTATTTCAGCAGCACCAAAATTATTACTTAGTTTCATCCAAAAGGATTTAGTCCATTTAAAGTACTCCAGTCCTGATCTGGTGAGATTCACCTCAAAAGTGTGTTTCTACTGAAGCAAAATGGCTAATGTATGTGCTTCCATAAACTCCACTTTATGTAAATTAAAAGTTATGTCCTTTCATGGAGAAATTCCTCTCCCAGCATTCATGTGTGTGTGCTTTTGACTCTAAACATCTCACCACATGGCTGAATAAAACATCAGTGGATACCATGCAAAGGCTCTTTTTGCTTTTTTACCCTGGACTTTACTAGCAGCAATGCAGGCTGCAACTCAGGAACTGACTCCTTTTAAGGAGTTCCTATTCATTTTCAAACACCCTAAAATCCTAATGGTATAACAAGAAAAGCGTAGACAGTCTTGTAATTTGTGATCATCGGATTCATAGTTATAAAAAGCACCATTTAGAGGTCCACAGGTTTCGACCTCCCCTCTCCTGTGAAGGGCCTCTGGTACTCAAGCTGAGGAATTTGGCATGCCAAAAGCCCATATGCAGCAGGGGTTTTTCCCCCTGTGCAAATTTCAGTATTTCACATGGCATTTTAGCATCAGGTGCAAAGTGTACATGTATGTATAAATGCAAAATAATGGCTCAGTGTTGCATGAAATAAAGATAAGCTACAGTTCCCCCTGGGCAGTGGGAAGTCTTTTTATCAGGAAATAGGAGAGGTATCAAGAAAAGGAATAGAATCAAGTGTAGACAAGTAGTCAGCATATTCCTAAATGCCTTCTTAGGGGATGGTAACTGTAGGAGATTTATTAATAGTTTCTGAAATTAGTTATAACTGGATTTGACATATTGCTTCATGTATATAACATCTGGGTCTTGCCTATGGAAGGAAGAGATTTTGATGTTTCTGTGATAAAGTAAAAATGTATTACTCTCTTTATATATCAACCACATTTTGTGACCATATATTCCTCTTATTGGGGAAGTTCTTATCTAAAATCCATTTCAAATCTCTATTAAACATCCTTCTGCACAGAGATAGAGCACTTACCCATTACCTAGTAGAGCTGTAATCAGTCTGCCCAGTTCTCTGAATGCAAATGCTTTTTGCTCAGTTGTGTAGAATCCTGAACTCCAAACATCAGCTTGGGTTATTATTTTTTGTTCTTTGTTGTGTTTCTTTATAGTTCTTTGAAAGATCATTGTTAAATGGAGCAAGCTGTTTAATGCCTGTGACAGAGCCTCTCTCAACCTGTTACATGACAAGAAAATAAATACACTGAAGATGATATGAGGAGTCACTGACTATCAACATGGTCTGCTTGTTCTCAGAGCACCAAGAAAGAATGGGTTTCTATTTCATTATGGCAGGAGGTGTTTCATGAGGCTTCTATTAAATGGACAGCACTTCCACCAACAGATGATGGCATCTTCTAGTGAGATCTTGTACAGAAAGGGTTGTATAAAAAAAGGGCACATTGTTGGCAACCAAGGATTCTTACAGCCTGATTTTTCACCTACATCTTCTATCATGCACATCTCTGCAAACAATAGATAGAAAATGCTACAACCTATAAAGATGACATAAATGATAAAGAGCCATTATAGAAACAAAACTACAATGGTTGCACCTCCTGCTCATTAGATAATAGTTATAGAAGCATTCAGATATTAAATTTAGGACTTCATCATTGAGGTCATACAAAAGTCTCACTAATTTCCATAGGATTTTTCTTTTGTTTCAGTACAAGAGAAATACATCAGATACCACATCTATTTAACTCTCAAATTGGTCCAGAATTTTATTTTATCTGAAGACAGAATTATTTTTAGTTAGAACTCATGTTTTTTGAGAATTAAGAAGATACTTATTTTAGTTTAACTTTAAAATATAATAAAGGTAGACAGCTTGTTCATGTAGTGTATGGCTAACTTTGAATCACTGAGAAAAACAAACTAACAAGATTTGAAATCACTTCATACCAAATAAACTCTGAAAGCATCTATATTTATACATTTCCAAAATTAAAATTCAAATGAGATTAATTGCAAAATCCAGCCTAAAAAGTAACTGAAAGCTGCATTTCATCAAAAGCCATGTGTTTGGCAATAAAAGCAGATTTTGATAATTTTAATGAAGGAAAAAAAACCTGAAATAGGCAAGTTTGAACTTTTAGCTTCACTTAAACAAAGCTGCACTATATCATATGCCTTTAGTTACAGAGCATGAAGGCAGTTCAATTTTTACGTAGGCTTCAAAGTCTTGCAATAGAAAACTGTTTCTGCCAAAATACCAGGATACATAACAGGATTCACATATGGGCTTCCCAGATTTCAGGAATTTTCAGATTAATTTTTACTTTGAACTCATGCCAAAGACTTGGAGCTGTACAGACAGCAAAGCTCTGCTAGTAGATTCTGCTGACATTTGGTATCACCAGTGATTTTTTTCTCAGGATGTCAGAACAAGACTCTTGATAATAATTCACCCCTATCATGAACAATAACATTCATATGATAATTCTCCTCTTTACAGGGTATTTTTGACCAGTTTAAGTTTGGGGTTTTTTTTTCCACCTACACAGACATTAAATTCTTTTACAGAAAAGAGACACTGACATGATAATGCTTGCAGAGTTATGGTGTTTCCTATAATCTGTGCTTCTGGCCAACATCCTCTAATGAATTTATCATCCATTGTATGATCTCCACTCTCCAAGGTAAAGTTTCTTCTCAATGTTGACAACAGGGATGAAAAATCA